TATTTATTCGTCTGAATACGTATTAAATGTGTGAAGTTATATCTCGCATGCACTCAGGCTGAAATGATCTAGGTGTCGGATACCCTTATAATTAAGAAAAAAAGAGAAAATTCTTTGTCTATTGAGCCTATGAAAGTAAGTGACCAATGTCGGCAGGGGACCCGCTCTACTGCTTAATTAATGAGCTTGATATAATCAGACTTATAAATGCTATCTATAGGACAGGTCATGTAGCAAAAATGAGCAACAAAGAGATCCACAAAAGACTTCTAAATGAAAATTTACACACTACTCACCCAAGAAGGCATCCAAAGTTATGCTGGGTGGACGGTATAAGGGTTATATACTCATGAGTGTAAAATAAAAATAAATAAAAAAATATCTGTGCCACAAACTCAAACAAAACACAAAAACAAAAATTGGGACCTGATCCAAGTTAATTACAACAATCATCTTTTAAAAATAAATGTATTAAGATTTAAAAAAATAAGTGATCTGTGACTTACACAACTTCTTGCCATTTACAAAAAATAAACAGATGCCTTCAACAACTTGAAAGAGAGTCCTTCCTTGTCCTTTTCTGTCTCAGCTCACACTGCCGAGCCTGTGCTTGGGGATTAGCTTATCCCAAAGGATAATCCTGGTTTTTGAAAAATATTGTTATAAACTTAGTGCAAAGGCTTGTTGCTGCTGACTCAACGAAGAGAAGAAAAAAAAACTATTTTTTCCAGTGAACAAGGGATGTCCATATGCTTGTTAGATAGACGAGACCCAGAGAATTTATTCCTCTGTAGGAGAAAAAGTTTTGGGGTTAACACATCCTCACGCAGAGGCTTGTTTCTGCAGTCTGTAAACAACTGTCTTGGTTTGTTCTGCAATCAGCAAGACCTATTGAATTTTAGTTAAACAGTTTTTCTCCCAATAACACGTGTTGTGTGTTCTTGTAACTATTCTTATGTTTATCCATTTAGATGGAATTATTTCAAATTCCATATCAGCCTGCTTTTTTATTTATTTATTTTTTAAATGAGCTTTTTATATAGTTCACCAAACTTCTCATCAAAACTCAGCTCTGAATTTGTAAAAATTCAATTTTCTCAATCATTTGTTATATGTTTTGTTGTAGGAAAAATATGAGTAATTTGAGTAGTAAAGATTTGTTGACTAGCGATGAATCTATCATTGAGCCTAGTTTTATAGAGCAAACAAAGAAATCTCATAAAAATTTTGCAATTGTGGAGGAATCTTCAGATGAATCTATTGATTTAAGTTCAGAATTCATAGCATTCAAGGAAAAGTCTAATAATTCTACCCAAAACTTGNTTAAGTTATTAATTATAAGGGTATCCGACACCTAGATCATTTCAGCCTGAGTGCATGCGAGATATAACTTCACACATTTAATACGTATTCAGACGAATAAATACATTCACACCCATGTACATTGTGCTCACTCTGTTTAGTAACTGGAGTACTCAATATTCTTCCATTGACCTGCACACAACAACAGTCTAATTGGAGTTGATGGGATACTTTTATAAATATTCCGCCTTCGACCTGTCATGCATACCGTTCGAGGGGCAATGTAGGTTTTTTCACCTCCCCATTCATACTAACAAATACACTCTCTTACCCAAAACACATATTTTGACGGCTATATACAAATTCCAAATTCCCCTAAAAAGTGGAACAGGGTACTCAGAGTCTACTAACAGGCTACTCTGTCCGAGGACCACTTTTAAATCTGGAGGCATGCCCACTCACACCCTATAGGGTGCCAAGGCATGACAAGCTTCAATCTGTAGGACACAATGAGCAAACTCTGCATAGGGGGCACCTGCGTGGAGGTTGGCCCATGTGTCAACCACGTATGACCTACTCTTAATCCGGCAAGGACTATTCCTTGTTTCTGGTTCAGGCCCTGGGGGGGGGGCATCTGTAGGTTGTGCTCGTTACACACAAGAGCCTCCCGGTCGACCACGCCTCTGAAGTATTAGATGAAGTGGAATGTAGGCCAATAGTCCTTTTTTTGTTTTTATTTGTCTTCCCACAATTTGTTATAAAGGAAGTTTTAAATGTAACTTCCTTTTTTGCCAACTCGTTTTGATTTATTAAATTATCATCAGGGCTACAAAAATAGCTGAATATTACAATCAAGTTAATTTATTTACAATTTCATATTTTTACTTCTAATCACAGGTATGAATAAGTTGCAGAGATCCCTTTTTTAATTTCAGTTTACATGTCGTTGTCGGTGGTGACAAGGTATAAAAAATTCACTTACCCTTTCAATTCTGTAAGTGCCTTTTTTTATGTTGGCTACCATAACTGGCTCGCCAAACAGCTCTGAATTTTTACAAATTCTCCAAATTCCATTTGGATTCCAGACTGGGCTGAATATCTTTCTGAGGACCTTCCTTTACCATACATCAAGAGTAATTTCACTTCGCTTTGGAATTACGCAGCTTTCTAAATGTAGACGGGCCTAATAATTGTTTTGTCATCAATTTTCATTACTTTATTTAAACCAAAGTGACCCACTGCCCACTGGTATTTGTACTTTAATCACGGCATTTATTTATTTATTTATTTTTTGCCACCAGTGCACTCAGATACTTAAAAAATTCTAAAAGCACAGGGAGTTAAGGTACATGGCTTTGGAAAGGAAAATCTGGTCAACTTCGTTTTGCCCTCTCTAAAAATTATTTATTTTCTGAACCACTTCAGGCCTTGTTGTGCCTAAGCCTACTCAAGAATCAAAAGCCATTTTCTTATGTCCTCTGCTTTTTATCCTCTTACTCCTAACTTCCTAAGTAACTTATTCACATCAGCCACTTTATCCTTGGTTTTTCTTTCAGTTGAGCCCAGCGTAGCATTCTTAGGTAGCCTTGTACCAGCATCCTACGAACATGGCATAGCCATATCAGCCTGCTTATTTATTTATTTATTTTTTGAATGAGCTTTTTATAACTAGTTCACCAAACTTCTCATCAAAACTCAGCTCTGGATTTGTAAAAATTCAATTTTCTCAATCATTTGTTATATGTTTTGTTGTAGGAAAAATATGAGTAATTTGAGTAGTAAAGATTTGTTGACTAGCGATGAATCTATCATTGAGCCTAGTTTTATAGAGCAAACAAAGAAATCTCATAAAAATTTTGCAATTGTGGAGGAATCTTCAGATGAATCTATTGATTTAAGTTCAGAATTCATAGCATTCAAGGAAAAGTCTAATAATTCTACCCAAAACTTGAGATTTGAAGAATCCAGTTATGAAAGCGAATTTATATCTCCCATCAAAAATGAAGATAATAATAGATCCAGGAAAAGATTAAATCGATCAATTTGTCAGGTTCTTTCTGAAGAACCGTCTACGAGTGGGGTTTGCAACACTCCAGAGCAAATTTCCAAACGACTCGATAATACATCTTCAGCAGTGAAACATAAAAGAGACCAGATTTCTACCCGAAGTGAGTCTGTAAGTATAATTACATGAATTCAATTATATTCAAGTTTTTGAATGAATTTTATAAATTTTAGGATGATGAATGGTTTTCCATATCTACATGGAAATCGAATTCTATCCATAAACCTTTTGATAGCAGCTCGGTAAAAATATCTGATGATGATTCTGATGAGGTGAGTTGTTTGAACAAGGTTTTTTTAATATTTTATATAATATTTATTTTATATAATAATATATTTTAGAGATTTTTGTATATATTAATATACATATATTATTTAAATAATAAATATATATACATAAATCATTACATTATTCAAGTATGCGTTACATTGGTTAATGCAATTATTAGTTTTTACTTCTCCAGAGCTTCTAGATGACATTTTCTTTTTCCAATACACACACACAATACTTTATTAGAATTGATACAAACAAAAACTAAAAACACTGATACAAAGTATAATAAGCATGGCTAGTAGCTGTCTGCTGATTTTGTTGAGTTGTTTACAATAAAAACATGTTTCTTTTTGCAAAATATTATTATACAAATTAGCATTAATATGAAGATTATGATGTACAGGAATACAGTCCACCAACTTGGATTAGAATAGATTGTAGGAATTGTGGGAATTTTATTTACAGGATTGATGGATTTATTCTTACATTAAGTTATTAATTATAAGGGTATCCGACACCTAGATCATTTCAGCCTGAGTGCATGCGAGATATAACTTCACACATTTAATACGTATTCAGACGAATAAATACATTCACACCCATGTACATTGTGCTCACTCTGTTTAGTAACTGGAGTACTCAATATTCTTCCATTGACCTGCACACAACAACAGTCTAATTGGAGTTGATGGGATACTTTTATAAATATTCCGCCTTCGACCTGTCATGCATACCGTTCGAGGGGCAATGTAGGTTTTTTCACCTCCCCATTCATACTAACAAATACACTCTCTTACCCAAAACACATATTTTGACGGCTATATACAAATTCCAAATTCCCCTAAAAAGTGGAACAGGGTACTCAGAGTCTACTAACAGGCTACTCTGTCCGAGGACCACTTTTAAATCTGGAGGCATGCCCACTCACACCCTATAGGGTGCCAAGGCATGACAAGCTTCAATCTGTAGGACACAATGAGCAAACTCTGCATAGGGGGCACCTGCGTGGAGGTTGGCCCATGTGTCAACCACGTATGACCTACTCTTAATCCGGCAAGGACTATTCCTTGTTTCTGGTTCAGGCCCTGGGGGGGGGGGCATCTGTAGGTTGTGCTCGTTACACACAAGAGCCTCCCGGTCGACCACGCCTCTGAAGTATTAGATGAAGTGGAATGTAGGCCAATAGTCCTTTTTTTGTTTTTATTTGTCTTCCCACAATTTGTTATAAAGGAAGTTTTAAATGTAACTTCCTTTTTTGCCAACTCGTTTTGATTTATTAAATTATCATCAGGGCTACAAAAATAGCTGAATATTACAATCAAGTTAATTTATTTACAATTTCATATTTTTACTTCTAATCACAGGTATGAATAAGTTGCAGAGATCCCTTTTTTAATTTCAGTTTACATGTCGTTGTCGGTGGTGACAAGGTATAAAAAATTCACTTACCCTTTCAATTCTGTAAGTGCCTTTTTTTATGTTGGCTACCATAACTGGCTCGCCAAACAGCTCTGAATTTTTACAAATTCTCCAAATTCCATTTGGATTCCAGACTGGGCTGAANATAATAAGCATGGCTAGTAGCTGTCTGCTGATTTAGTTGAGTTGTTTACAATAAAAACATGTTTCTTTTTGCAAAATATTATTATACAAATTAGCATTAATATGAAGATTATGATGTACAGGAATACAGTCCACCAACTTGGATTAGAATAGATTGTAGGAATTGTGGGAATTTTATTTACAGGATTGATGGATTTATTCTTAGATTAAGTTTTTTAAGTGTAATTCTGATGTCTTGGAAGTTGCTTAGGACGAAGTGTGGGGTTGATGTTTTGTATTAGAACAGGCTTCCCATGTGAAATTGATTTGTAGACGAGTGGTTCATCTCTGAACACAAAGCTCCTACTATCAGCTTTGATGAGGAATATTTCTGTTAGAGTCCTTGCTTCCACGGAATCCTCATTCAAGAATTGTATCGTCTCTGGTTGTACAAAAATGACCAAGAATTGGCTAATTTCCAATATTAAAAGTTATTAAATTGGTTTGAATTGCCTATTCATTGTATATGCATGTTGGGATGGATTCCTTCAACAACCCTCTTCAACTTCGCATAGATCTTGATGAGTTGACCAGCAGAGTTTGGGGACAGTGAATGGTATAATGTATAAGTTATAAATAGAAAACATACTCAATAGAATTTGAGTTCAAGATGTAGCGTGTTAAGATGTAAATGAGTTAATTTAATTTATTTTCAGATACCTGGCAACTGGGGATATGTTCAAAACCATTGCTGTAAGTTATAGAATGGGAGAAAGGACAGTCTCAAACATTGTATCTCAAGTATGTAACGCACTGTGGCTTCGTCTGCAGCCTATCTATATGCCTACACCATCAAAAGAAATGTGGGAACATGTATCTCTAGATTTTGAAAGGAAGTGGCAATTTTACAACTGCGTCGGAGCAATTGATGGGAAACACATCTGCATTCGAAAACCGATTCATAGTGGTTCTTCATTCCATAACTATAAACAGTATTTTTCAGTTGTATTAATGGCCTCTGTAGATGCTCATTATCGTTTCACAACGATAGACGTAGGGTCTATGGGTAGATTTAGTGATGGGAATATTTTTTTAAATTCCCGTTTAGGAACAATGTTGCACAATGAATCTCTAGAATTGCCTGATCCCAAATCCTTACCGGGCCAAAACGAAATTACTCCTTATGTGTTTGTTGGGGATGAAGCGTTCCCACTTATGCCGAATTTAATGCGCCCATATCCTAGACTCAAAGTGACTAACAATTCCCAAAATAAAGTGTTTAACTATAGATTATCCCGAGCTAGGCAAACTGTGGAATGTGCTTTCGGAATTCTGTCAGTACGATTTCGCGTGTACAAAAGACCTTTTGAATGTAAGTTAGAAACTATAGAAAACATTGTTAAGGCTACGACCGTGCTTCACAATTATTTAAGAACCAATGCCGTACAATCGAACTCGATAGATGTAGACGACGAACTTATGATCAGTAACAATAATTCTATTTTAGTTCCTTTACAAAATAATCGCATTAGAAGTTCAAGACAAGCTTTTTTAATCCGAGAAAAATTCAAAATGTGTTTCAATAGTGCACAAGGTTCCGTTGAGTGGCAAAATAGAGCAGTTCAGAGAGGGCACTACTGATGATTCATTTTAACAGCACTACTTAATCTAGCTTTGATCGCAAAAGTTGTAATTTACTGCAAAGTGTGTTTTTCTGAACTTTAACAATGCGATGTATATTGTAATGTGTGATGTAATGATTTAAGAAATAAAGATGTTACGATATAAACTTACCGTTCAAACCGAGGTCTGTACCAATTTTTTCCCATAGTTCATCTTTCATTTTCGTCCTTATGTAATCAGGATGACTTGTATCATACAAAATGGGTCTATCCCGCACACTTTCTATCAAACTTTCGACAAGTTCCATTATTTCCTTAAACCCACGACGTGAAGGACACACGAAATCTGTGCGGCTGTCACAAACGAACCACGCGTGGTTGAAGTCAAACTGGGCTGGCCGTGGAGTGGGTTCAATTTGCGTCACATCATCTGGAACTGCGTTTCACAGAAGAGCCCACGTGTGGGCTGGGCGTGTGCTGCCCGTGGGCTGGGTTCAATTTGCGGCGGGTTTAAAGCATGGCCAGTCCGATATGTTACAGCTAAAGTGTGGCAGATCAATCGCCGGGAACTTTATGGAAGGTGGAACAAAACTGGCAGATCTGTCCAGCATAGTGCTGCGATCAGCTTCGTCCGGTCGACTGCCAACATTTAAGGTCAGGGTCTCGAAGTAAAGGCTCTGGTATTTGTCTTTAAGCACGTCATATTTTTCTGATTTGAACCCGATATCGGAGGCTCAATCTTGCATCTCGTACTGGATCTTCTTCTTATCGGTTTCGGACATGGTTTAAGGATATGCATATATACAAGTTAAATAATTTCTTTGGACGAACGTGTTTTTAAAAACTTTTATTCAAAGAAATTACAAATAAGTTACTGATATACATTCAGAACTTTATGAATCTAAATCAAATCTCGTCGATATGCTTTCGGGAAATCTGGCTTAAGACTAACGTTTATTAAAATGAAAATCCTTATGAAATTTCTAGAGTGGGAGAGAGTGCTGATGACAATTCTAGGAGCAACACCTGCATCCTAGCATTGTCATCACATTATTTATTTAACACAATGTTTATACTCGTATATAACT